TAAGCTGTGGTGGCGCACCAAGCACGCAGACATCGAAGCAGGAAGGATCAAGATTGATACATGGGCGGAGTTCAAAGAGGAACTCAAAGAACAATTCTACCCCGTCAACACAGCGTTTGTTGCACGGATGAAGTTGCAAGAGTGCCGCCAGAAGGGTTCTCTTCGCAACTATGTTAAGGAATACTCGGCGATAATGTTGGACATCACAGACATGAATGAGAAAGATCGTGTGTTCAACTTTGTCAACGGGCTAAAGGAATGGGCGCAGCGAGAGATTTTGAGGCAGAATATTGATACCCTCGCTGCTGCTATGTGTGCTGCTGAGAGATTGATGGACTACTCAGTCGGGAAGGGTCGTCAATTCGAGAAGGATTCAAGTGGGACGTCAACACGCTCTAACAGTTCGTCTCCAAGCTCTCCAAAGGGTACAGAGAACGGCTCACGAGTATCGTCCAACACCATTAATACATATCATAGAAGAAGTGGAGGAGGTGATGCCCAGAGACAAACATCTACCCCCTCCCACAACTCAGGAAACTCGAGGGCCGGCGCATCCTCGGCAAACACAAGGGCAATAAACTGCATACTTTGTCGAGGTCCACACAAATGGTGGGATTGCGAGCATAAAGAAGAACTTGACAAGATCCAAAAGAGATTGTCATCTATGTCCGTTCAGGAGGCCACAAAAGAGACTAGCAGCGATGAGGAGCCCACATATAGGATGGGTTCCATACGACGCCTGAGTGCTATGAGAATGATAACACCTCAAGAAGAACCAGAAGTCCGATATCTTTCAGCAATGCGAGTGATGGAGCCTGAGAAGAAGGCAACATCGAAGAAACAAGCTCGCACCAGAAACCCAGAGAAGCGGGAGATGAAACCCATGGAGTTGGCAACATCCCAGATACACACCCGCCAAAACCAGAATCAGTCACAAGGTTCGAAGCAAAGAGCGACGAGCCCAGAGACACCAAAGAAGAACCTCCCAAGAGGGAGGAAAAACAGTGGTTGAGCAAACAACACAGGGCGCATGCAAGGGATTACAAAGAAAATGGTCACCCAAGAGGCACCAGCCACAACTTGAAGCTCTCCACCACAGTCTCAAGGAAGCAGCTCCCCAACAGATGATGGTGGAAGCAGCTGTCCCCCTTAATTCAACAGATTCCACTCCTAGGAGGAAATTTAGAGATGAAGCTCTCAACAAGATGTTCGAGCCGAGCGACTCTAGAGACAAGCTCCTCGTCAACAAAGAAGATCCAGCTCAAGAGTCAGATAAGATTCCAGAAGATAGCCGCACCAACGGCGCATCCGAAAATTGAGATAGTTTAGGGTTTTCTAATTTTGATTGTAACTTTTGTAAGTCGACGAGGTCGTCGATAGCTTAAGTAGGGGAGGATGTTAGAATCCAACTCCTTTTGATGTATTAGATTCCATTTAAGTGCTTTCCTAGAGTTTAGGTTATGTTTTCTTAGCTTGAGGTCCCATTATTGTGTTACTGTCAGATCAGTGTTCACTAGGGATTCTCCTTGTATGTCATTTAAAGCTCTTTAGAGGGCGATTGATTAATGAAATCTTAAAGCCTTCTACCAAGTGTTGCCTTGCTTTTATGCTTGTTTGTTGTTAGACCTTTATAGATATTGTGTCTTACTTGCATATTAGCTCCCCTCCAACCCAACTTGATGCGCTAAGGACTCGTGGTTCGGACCCGCTTGTGCCCGCTTTGAAGTATCGGCCGTCACAAGCCCCGACCACCCGCACTCCGTCGCCCAGATAAACGTGAGTGCTTCTGAGATTCTATTGCCCGCTTGTGTTGCTTTGTGCTCACAAGCCCCTCTTCCGCTCAAGGCTAGCGTTCTTGCCGCCAAAAGGCTAGAGCGCGCCGCACGTTTCGGGGTCCAAACTCCCGGACCGTGACACCAGGTTTGGAAAGTGTATGTGGATGGGAGCTCCACTGTGAACGGCTGTGGCGCGGGGATTATCTGTCAATCTCCTGAAGGAGATAAGTACGAATACGCACTACAGTTCAAGTTTCAGGTCTCTAATAATGAGGCCGAGTATGAGGCCCTGCTGGCCGGTATCCGGTATTGCAAGGCGGCAGGGGCGAAGAAGATATCCGCCTGCTCTGATTCTCAACTGGTCGTACTCCAGGTTAATGGAATGTACGAGGCCACTCATCCGGCCATGATAAAATATTTGCAGGCGGTCAAGAGTGAAGTTGGGTCACTTGAAAAATTTCATCTAACTCAGGTGCCCAGGTCTTCAAACAATCAGGCGGATGCTCTGTCCAAGTTGGCATCATCCGCCTCCTGTGAAACGCCTCGGTCAGTTTTCTGGGAGGTCACGGAAAAAAGAAGTATATCTAAGGAAGACCCCATTGGAATTCTTGACCGGAGCTTAACCTGGATGGACAGTATCCGGGCCTATCTTGCAGACGACACGCTCCCAGACTCACCACGGGAGGCGACTGTTCTAAAAAAACGAGCAGCTAACTTCAAGTTGCGACAAGGAGAGCTCTTCAGGGCTGGCTTTTTAAAACCCGCGTTGAAGTGTGTTATCCCTGAAAAGGGGAAGGAAGTCCTCGAAGAGTTGCATTCGGGATTCTGCGCCTCCCATATAGGCGGCAGATCCCTCGCGGCCAAGGCCAGGCGGCTTTACTTTTGGCCAACTCTGGAGTCGGATGCCATGGAAATGGTGAAAAAATGTGACAAGTGCCAAAAGTTTGGCAAGCTCATCCATCGTCCGGCTACAGACCTGACGGCCATCCACAACCCCAATACCCTTTGCCAAATGGGGCATGGACATTCTGGGGCCATATACAACTGCACCAGGCGGCAAGCGCTATATATTGGTGGCTGTGGATTACTTTACCAAGTGGGTAGAGGCTGAGGTAGTCAAAAACATCAAGACTAAAGACGTCATTTCCTTTATCTGGAGGAACATAATCACTCGTTTCGGGGTGCCCATGTCTATGGTTTTTGACAATGGTCCTCAATTTGAGACGCCTCAACTCAAGACTTGGCTGGGAGACCAGGGGGTCTCAAGCTTCTTCGCATCAGTTGGCCGGCCGCAAGAAAACGGTCAGGTCGAAGCCTTTAACAAGTTAATCTCAGACAGGATTAGAAAGAAAATTGAGCGGGCTGGTGGCCTTTGGGCGGATGAATTACCACACGTCCTTTGGTCCATCAGAACGACTGCTAAAGGGGCAACGGGAGAAACCCCATTCCTAATGGTGTATGGTGCAGAATCTGTTCTGCCCATTGAGCACTATGAGCCGACCCTTCGAATCATGTTGTATGATGAAGAGGCGAATTGGGAGGCCATGCGCCTCGCATTGGACTCACTTCCAGAGCGCAGGGGAAATGCTGCCTTGCGTCATTAGATATACCGTCTGAGAATGACTCGGGCATACAACAAAAGAGTACACAAGCGTCCTCTCAAAGTGGGGGACTTTGTGCTACGGAAAATGGAGGCAATCGGTAGGGCGAACGAACAGGGAAAGCTAACCCCAAATTGGGAAGGCCCCTACCGAATTTATGAGGAAGTAAGAGACGGCACCTACCGCCTAGAAGACCCAGACGGCAGGCAGCTGCCCAGAACTTGGAATGTAGACAACTTGAAAAAGTACTACTTCTAAGTACGAATGTAAAAACCTCAATTTTGTAAATCTCACGTATTGTTAATGAGAATATGCCTTCATTTCCCAACTTGTCTTTTTATTTAAGCTCTTAGTGTCGCCTGTATATAATACAGACGACCAATACGTTTGTAGAGCGTTTGTCTCAACCGCAGACACTCCAATGATTCTGAAGGAACCGATTGTTTTAGAACAGTCGTTCCTACGAAATTCATCAAGTTTACACCAACACTTGACTAATATTTACGTAACCATTTAAGAAGCCTAAGGCCAGATAAAATCATGATGAGGCCCATGGCCGGTGTTAATAAACAAAAAGAGACCGAATGGTCACAGTCTGCTCCAACATGAGTATGACCGTCTGCTCCAACATGAGTCAGATAACCGGCGACGTCCATTTGGGCGAATTCGTCGAGGAGAAGCATCTCCCATTTGGGTGGCACATTGCTCTACGAATATATCAAGCGGCCCTACCGAATGCTAAGGCAGCATTCGCAGTCGTTTGTTTTAATCGAAAGTGAAATCTAAAAGACCTGAATTTTCTATCTAGCGCAGTTCAGAAATGGTCACTGTTTCATAAGTAGAGGCTAAGCGAGGCATAAAGTCGGATGCGCCCGTTATTGCTCAGGGGAAAAACAGGCGGAATATTTACAAGCTAAGTTAACTACTTAGCACTTATTGAGGCTATTGGCCGGATGACGCCTGATCCTTGCCTATGGGGCAAGACAGGCGGACAATTATTTTTAAGAGAAAATTGGTTAAGTTACAAACTTAGCATTTTATCGCAAAGAGGCTTATGGCCGGAGGCGCTTGTTTTTGCTTATGGAGCAGAACAGGCGGAGGTTTACCCTTAGCAAATTAGCTAAGTTGGAAATTTGAGTTAGTTCGAGCCAATGGCCGAATGAACACTTATGTTTGCCAATTCTGGATGGACGTCTGCCGCGTGGTTTGGGGCAATCACCATAGTGATTGATTGACTTAGAAACCATGCATACTCTTCTAAGTATCAAAAATTTCTAAGTCAATCAATCCAATAAACCGAAACCACTCGACATCCGTCCAGGGGCAAGAACATTTGCATGGTATACAGGTTATAATACTTAGCCAAAAACATGCAATGAAAAATAAAAATTCAAGCAGTTCAAAGGACAGAATATGGATAACTTCAGCCAAATGGCTGAATGATTCAAATTAAAAAAGACCAATCGCCACCTGACGATTGGTTAAGATTGTCATCTGGCAAAGCCAGAAAGATTGTCAAATTACCCGACCCCTTGGTCGGTAAAGATACAAATACTCGGCACGCAGGCCGGAAAAGAAAAGTACATGGCCATTCGGCCGCAGAAAAGCATAAAAGCTTAAGTGATCAGGGGAGAGCCTCTTCAGTGGCAGCCGACCTGTCGTCCTTCGGCTGCTCTTCATCCTTTCTCTCTTGCTCCTCCGCCTGATCCTCCTCCTCCTCGCCACCAGAGGACGACTCCCCAGAAGAGTCGGACCCAGAACTTTCCTCGGCCTCAGCATTCTCAGCCTCTTCAATAAGGCGAGCGTCGAATGCTTTGCTGGCTTCGTCAAATTTGGATTTCCAAATCTGATAGTCCGAGTCCGGCTGTACAGCCGCCCAAGTGTCCCGCATGATGGCTTCATAATCAATCATCATTTGCTTAACAAGAGCTTCTCTCTCTTGATCAGCCACGGACTCAAACTTGGACTTCAGCTGATGCTCCTGGTTGCTGAGGCGCTGCTCCAGGCGGCCCACCTTTTGCTTGGCTCTCTCGGCCTCTTCTTTGACATCTTGAAGAGGCTCGAGCTTCTCCTTAAGAGTTGTAATCTCTTTCTTAAGGGAAGTGATGCGCACGCGGGCCGAGTCCAGGTCCTTCTTCACCTGCATCTTGGCTTCCGCCTGTGAATACATCATATCAAGCGTTAGATACTCATTCTGAGCAATATCAAATTGAGCCCGATCCAAGGCGGACTCGGCTCGAGCTTTAGCGATTGTTACCTCTTTGGATTTCTCCTTGAGGGGTTGCCTGAGCCCTTGGACGCGCAGCATGGCCTGCAAAAGAGCCGAATGGTTAAAACCAGGAGGAAAAAGAAATAATACTTAGCAAAAAAAATAAAAAAATTTGCTTGAGCTAAGACTCATACCTCGCAGAGGTTCCCTAAGATGCCATCCAAGTCAAGGGTGCCGACTCCTCTGACAGACGCCTTGTCGTCAGGATCAACCGCCCTCAGCATGGACTTGGCCATCTGGACTACAGTCGGCCTCTGCACAGGAACTGAGAAGGAGAGAAAGTTAGAAAAATAACTCAAGTACATCTAAATGGAAGAACAATAGAGGCGAATGGATTTTACCGTCGTCCTTCTGCTCCTCCTCTCTCCCCAGGCTCCTCTTCTCTCCTGCTGAGCCGACAGCAGTGGTGGGTTGCTTAAAGCCACCCTTCGATGCCCTCTGGGCATCCGGTTTGCTGATCTCCTTTTCAGCTTCGAGAGAAGAGGCGTCTAGGCCCTTCTTGGGCCTATGAGCAATGTGCTTCCGGCCGCCCTTGCCGGATGCGCTCACATCACCCGCCCTAGTCTTTTGGATTTTAGGGTCGGATGGTTTTGAAGGAGATTTGGAAGGCACACCCTACATCAACACAAGATAAACGCAAGTTAGAAATCATTCGGGCAAATTTAATATTGGTCAGAAATGAAAGTATAACAATTTTCTACCTTGGAGGTGCCGCCAGTTTTCTGCTCGTCCACTTTGGTGTGAGTGGTTACTTCTGCCCTGTTTAGGACATTCGACCTGTATCGAGCAGCAGATACAGCCGGCTTCCTTGTGGCCGAGGGCTTTTCCATTGCTTTGTCTGCAAAAATGAACAAGTGATTAGCATCATTAAACAAGTACTGAAAAGCAAAAGTAAATTGCATATAAAACAGACGGCCGACTACCTCTCGGCATCTCAGAACTTAGCCCACAGGCGGATAAGAATGTCCCTTCTTCAAACCACTTGTACAAAGGGAGATAGCATTGAGGGGTGACCTCCTTGTCCCCCTCATCATTCGTCCACACGGACACGGTAAACAACCCCGCGTCCATGATCTCCTCCTTTGCCTGCCTGGGAATAGGCGGCAATGCGCTCCTGCCTGCTAGGAGAGGTGGATCCTTATTCCACCGTTATACTTTTGGTACAGGCGGCTGTCGGCAGACTTGACTATGTAAAACTTAGTCCTCCAGTCTTTCCACTTGTTCTCTTTGCCAACAGCCATCATGTACCCCTTGCAAGTGGTCAAGGTGTACCAGCCTTCACTGCCCCTAGCAGGCGCCATGCTCAGATAGTGCATGAGGGCGAACGCTTCAAAGCTCGCCTCCACCTGCAGCATCTCACGGACGGCAACGTACCCCAGAATATTGATCCAGGAGTTGGGTACAACTTGCCAGATACCCAGTTGGTATCCGTCCAAGATCCTCTCCACGGCCGGATGGAGAGGGAAGCGGAGGCCAGCCTGGAAGGCCGCTTCATAGCAGTCGAATGCTTTGTCTTGATAGCTGGCCAGGCTCGGCCAGGTTATGGTGTCGCCCTCGTTAGGGACCGACAAAGTGTAGCCATAGCCTAGGACGACCTTGCGCCTAAAATTGGCAAGGCCGGATGCCATGGCGCTCCGCCTGCCTGGCGGAACATGCTGATAGTAGGGGGCTCTCTCCAAGCGCCTGGAAGCACTCGGCTCGGTCCAGCTTTCCCCCCCTATCCACTGCCAGGGACTCTCTGATAGAATCTATGTTTGATCTAGCCTCCTTTGAAGTTACGGAGGCATTCTCTGAAGAAGACGACGAGGCCGACTCGTCATCAGAGCTCTCATCAGAGCTAGGGGACCGTTGACTGGTGCCAGCGGGGTCCTCCCCTAGACTCTCTTCCGGCGCCTGTCCAGAAGGCCCGGGTTGATATTCTTCATCCGCCTCCCCCAGGATTCCATCACTGGGAGTTCCACTAGATGTGGGCGAATGGTAATAAGTGGGGGTAGGAGGAAGATAGGAAGGGCTGTCAGGGTGTTCCGACAGCTCACTTCGAGGCACTCTTATTGAGCCGTCTGAAAAAACAGTCGACCCATCCGAATGGTAGAAAACTCCATCGGAGCTACACTGCCTTGCTGTTCTTTTGATTCTGGCCATAGTGTCCTGCACAGACACGGAAACGGTCGGATTCGGAGAAGTTCGCAAAGCAGGGTCTTTGGCCAAGCATTCGGCACCGCTAGTTCTAGATTCAGCCGTCCCCGGTGACCGGCTGATCACTATCCTACGCCGTGCCGCATGCAATTGGGGAGCCATTTTTTCGAAAACAAAGAAAAAATGAAGAGTATAAAGAAAATACAGGCGTTACCTTTAGAAGAAGGGAGAAAGACGCCTGGTTGACTAAAGAACGGTCGAACTGGTAGCCGAGTGTCGGATGCTTGAAAAACGCTTAGGGAATTTTGAGATTCTTTAAAGTCAAAAAGTCCAAGATTCTCCAGAGATTCGCCAAGGTGTGAATCCAAGAGGGGGGGTCAAACCTTACTATTTATAGGGGGGTAAAACCCTAATTTTTTTCCCTCCAGTAAATTTTTGAATCTGACCACTCAGATACTGACACCTGTCACAGGAGTCACGTGCAATGCACGTGACCCCTGTGAGGGGCAAATGATTTGGGTATTTTATACCCGGCCAGGTGGCCCAATCAGAAAGTGCCACGTGGCCTCCGTATAGGTGCCATTTGGACCTTTGGAATGATGACACGTGGAGGGTGGACTCTTCTCTGTCCTACGTGGACTGCAGATCCAGCAGGGACCATTCAGGTGGCAATACGTGTCACAGAAAAAGTGCTTCAAAATCCTTTGGGCACAGTGACACGTGTCACTCAGGCATTGGCCCTGGGATGGCGGCCTTCTAAGGCCCAAATCCCGAGGTGCCGCAAAACGGCGTGACCTAATTACTAGGTCATCAGATCCTAGGAAGGCACACTTTTCAAAAGGACCCTATAAATAGGGACATTATGTCATTTATGACAAGAAGAGAGAATTTTTGACACGCAATACGAGACAATACGTCACTTATCTCACTTTACCTGAGCTTGGAATCCAAGCAGATAACTTTACTTCCGCACGTTTTATTTCCGAACGTTTGCTGACTTAATCTTCGGAGGCGGATCCCCAACCATCCGGAGGTCCGTTTGCTTTGAAGGTACAGGCGTCCTCACTTGAATCCAGTTTCAGTGTTGTAACTCTACCGAGGGAAAAAAAACCCCGAAACATTTTGGATGTGATAAAATATTTTGAAAATATGATCTTTTATTTTGAAAGATAAATTCGGTTTTATTTGGATAAAATCTTTTATTTTAGGATAAAGTCAAATCTTTCAAAAGTTGTTATATTTGATATTATCCATATTTAAAGTTGTTAAATTGGTAATTATCCATAATTAAAGTGGCTAATTTTGGATAAGATTTGTTAGGATATTATGAGCATATTCCAAAAGGATAATAATTGATTTAAATAATTTGATTATCCCATAATTATTTTTGGATATAATTGATTTAAAATTTTGTGATCGGCTAGTAATTAGAATAGAATTTCCTAAATTTGTTAGGATAATCTTTGAGGATAAATATGATTTATCTTTTAAGATTAAAATAAGATTTGATTCTATCTCATGACTAATTTAAAATATACGATGTTTTATTGATGGTCATGAATAATATATAATATTATCTAATTGCATTAATTAAAATATGAGATATTTAGATGCCATGTTTCCTTAATTATGATCATTCGATGTTGTAGTTTAGGAAAGCATGATGAATGATTTATTATGTGGCACTTTATAATATATGATATTATTTATTGCTATATAATGACTAGTATGGCCCAGTAGATTGCTAAATACGATCTGCGCATCGTGATGTATTTTTGTAATCTTAGTACGGTCTACGTACCGATAAAGTATTTTTGTGATTTATTTTATTTTATTTAAGTAGATAGAATAGAATAATATTACAGGTTGCAGTTAATCCAAGAAGCCCGTGAAGTGAAGGCCCAAAGGAGCAAGGTGGATAAGATCCATGAAGGTTCAAGTGGGAGCTTTTGCTTTATTAGTTTTCTTAGGATTAGGGGCCATGCTATATCTTGTTTATGCATTCAGTTTATTATGCATGTTAGATTTTATTGATGTTTTGTGATGATGCATTAGAGTTCACTAAATAATCACAACATAATAAATCTAGGTCCCAGTAATATTGAGGTAGCTTTTCCAATCAAAAACCCGATGAAACCTTCGATTTTATGATGGGTCATGCTAAAGCTGGGTGTCATATTATATCTTAGGGGAGTGGGGGTAAAACAAATTTTACACTTTTGATTGGTTATACTCAACAAGGTTACCCAAAGAGTTTAGAACCTTGAAGCTAAGGGTAATAATTAAACATGTGATGGTTAATTATTCAACCAAGAATTACAAAGAGTTGTAATCAGTAAAGAATTTACTCACCTTGAAAATGTAATGGTTGATGGTAGGGCTAAAGTCCGGTCAATTATTGCACAAATAAAGGATCTTGGAATCATTTTATTCAATAGGGATCAATTAAAATTGAATAAATGTTTTAAAGTTTCCAAAATTAATTCGCTTATGGTACTTTAAATTTTATTAAACATAATTGAATTTTGCGTTTACTTATAAGTAATATGTCGTTCTAATTTTATTATTATATATAATCTCCTTGATTGAAAATAAAGTTGAGAAACGTTCTCACAAGTTAAAAGGTAATCCATAAACCTATATTTCAATTTTGCTAAGATGGTTCTAAAAGGCAAGTTTTAAAAACTCATGTCAAATGTCTAAGGTTAGTTTTATTCAAAACGTTTGAGTAAAATGCCAACACATCTTCATTTTGAAAAGCGTTTCAAGGGATATAATGAGATAGGTTAGTTTTATTCAAAACGTTTGAGTAAAATGCTAACACATCTTCATTTTGAAAAGCGTTTCAAGGGATATAATGAGATGGGAGGTACAAACCCTCTAAAAGACAAGTATAGAAGTCCAATAAAATCTCTTATCTTCAATATGATTGAATATAAGAAAGTGATTGGAAATTTATATGATCAAAAGTTAATCAAATGACGCTACACTTCATCTACTTTATTTAAGAGTTAAATAGTTGATTAAACTCTATTATGAATAATGATTGAATAGACTTAGCAAAATCATGAAAAGTGCTTAAAGTAGTTAAGCAAAGCATCATTTTGAACCTAGAGAAATGTTTTGAGTGGCTCAAATGGGAAAGGTTTAGGAATAAATGAGGATTGCATTAAGAAGTTATAGGCCAAGAAATGCAAACAATGCAAGTTGCTACTTCTCAAACCTAGAACTACTTATATGCTAAAAGTTGTTATGAACGACAAATGTTTCTAATTAAATGGACCAATTCCAATTGATTAGAAACTACCTCATATAGTTGGAAGGTAAAAGAATGGAAAATGTTCCAACTTAAGAAGTATATTATAGAAATTGATTTAGCACATTACTACTTCTTGGACATATGATGTCTTGTTTAGTTCTCTCTTATTGAGAATGAGGTTGAACTAAATGAAGAAGTATGGCTAAAGGAGAAATAAATCTACAAGTTTAGAAGCAAATGTTGCTACTTCACAAGTAGAATCTACGAGTCTGGAAGCAAAAGTTGCAACTTTACAAGTAGAACCTATATTTCACCTTACCTTGTTATTGGGTAGAATTAAATAAATGTTATTCATTCTTTCCATTATCAAAACACCATTCAATGTTAGTAATGACTAAGCATCGAAGATTTAAAAACGTGGAATAAATGTTATTATATGCTTC